TATTGTAGTGCTACCATTGTTTTGTCATAAAAGCGTTTTATCAATATTTCAGTAGTTTAGAAGCAACATATTACGATAATTAAAAAAAAAGAAAATAGCAACAAAACAAAACTCATTAAATATTATTATATTTATTTGTAAGATATAATTTGTAAATTACCGAAGAGATTTGGTATGGTATATTTTATATTAATATGAAAGTTACTAATATTTTAAAGATGAATTTCAGATCGCAAAGTGGTCAAGATGTGCCACCATCCTGTTCTTCGCCATCACAAGATGGTTCTCTTGCTGTGCCAGCCAAAGGTCGTATTGTCCATATGGTGGGTGTATTTCAAAGTCCACCAAGTACATCCGCCTCCTCCTCCAATGAAAGCAATAATGGAGGAATTACTACAACAAGTAATAGTATACAACCTGAAACTCCTCCAGGTTGGTGAATTTGGAAAATTTACATTTTTTTAAAAGTTTTCATGTTCATAAATATTCGTCGAATCAATTGCCATATTTAATTTTCCTTTACAAATCTCAACTTTCCAATCATTCTAATTTTATATAATTCATATTTCAATTTATTATTACTTTCACTATTTGCCAATGTTGCAACTTTTGCAAAAAGCAAGAAAAAGAGCAAAAAAGTCGTTCACATTGCATTAATTAACAATTAGTAATTATACTTTTTATCGTAAAAAATAATTATAAATTTAATCAATTATGCATGTATACATATATAATATATGAATTATGTAATAAATATTTGAGTATCGTTTTTTTTTCCAAATGTCCTTTTTTCTTTTCGGAGTATTTCAAAATTTGCCTCTTCATCTTTCTGGAATATAAAAGAAAATATTAGCATTATTATAGTGGCATCAATTTCAAGTTTCATTAACGTTCTTAATCAGTCTCTTTTTTTTTATCATAAAATTTTTGCGAGAAAAAAAAACATTTTGAAATGGTTTGCATGATAACAAATCACGATATAAGTGAATTTTCATGATTTCTAATCTTCATTTCTCAAAATTAAAATTTTCTTCTCTTACTTTGATTAGTTATCAAATTGATCAATAGGATCACTTACTCTATCCAGTTATCCAATGCAATGATGATGATCTTCTGTAGTGAAACGATTTGCCGAATAACGATAATCGAAAGATTTTTATGATATCAATTATTAAATTTCCTTTCTCTAATTAATCTGTTAATGAATTCATATTAATGCATGTATTGTGTTCGTCCATCTACGTATAATAGTTCTTTCTCTTTTTCTTTTTTTTTGCTCTGCAAAAATCATAAAATTTGTTACTATTGATGAAATGCATTGATCAAACGGAAAATTTAAAAAAAGAAGAAGAAAAGAATGATACCAAATTTAATCGATTTTTTCATTTAATAACAAGATGAATTTTTAGTTCATAATATAGAACCAACATATTCCTCATCTGCACATCTTGATGAATCAAAAATGTATCGTCGATATACCAGTTCATCAGCGACAACAGAACAGGATGATTTTACACCAGAAGAGTTGCAAGAATTTGCACAAGCGTTTAAGGTCTTATTGAAAAAACGGTTTAAATTTCTAGCAAATTTTCATTTTTTTTCTTTTTGGTAAATTTTTGTGAGATTTTCTTTTTTTTTTTTGAATTTATCCTAAGATAAATCCATTATATTTATTTTCTTTTCAATAATTTCTTTGAATTAAAAATTTAAGAATTTTAAACAAATTATTTCGCCTTTTTTTCTTTTTTTCCCCTTAATCTATCATTTAATAAAATTATTTTGTAATTTTTAATCTTCTCAATCTTATCATTCTGATAATTCATAATTCTACCATTCCTTATACTAGAATTGTAATGCATGAGAAAAAATAGATTTAATTTTAATCTCATTATTAATAAATCATAAATGTATTAGTGTGATAATTTTAGCATTTATAATACTTAAGATGTTTGATAAAGATGGCAATGGTACGATGAATATCAGGGAATTAGGTGTAGCAATGCGTACTCTCGGATTAAATCCAACCGAGGAAGAACTATTGAATATGGTTAATGAATACGATGTGGATGGCAATGGCAAAATTGATTTTTTTGAATTTTGTAAAATGATGAAAGAAATGAGCAAAGAAACGGATCAGGAATTGATACGATTAGCATTCAAGTATGTATACATTTCATCAATCATTTTTACTATAATGATTGACTCAAAAGAGGCGAAAAAAAAAATGTTAGAAATGACAGAACATGTGTTTCAATCAGATAGAATGCTTAATGCTTATCATTGAATATTGTTAGATATTGTAACTTAAAAGTTGAATATATTAAAAAAAAAAAAAAAAAAATAATTGCTGAGTTTACATGTCATTGAATAGCTTGATAAATAAAGAAAATATCAATTTGTAGCTTATCATTTTTCTTTTCCATACTAATATCACTCTCTATTTTTATCAGATTGAATCATTCTATTTCTGACAAATTTTAATAAGATTAAATCGTTTGAAAAAAAAAACCCATCCTACCTATCATTTAACAATTATATGTATGAAAAACGTTTTCTTCTTTTTTTCTTTTTTTTTTTTTAAGATTGATGTAAAAACATAAAGTATTTGAGCTTATTGTATCCTTCCTTCTCAAATATGTAAGCTGTACTGCTTGAGTTTTGATTCCGGAAAACTTCCGATTTTTAAAGTTTACAACTTTTTTTGTATCCTAATGGAAAAGTTTATCCTTCCTCTTGTTTTTCTCATTTAACGCTATCATAAGATTTGTTATTCGAAATTTATCTGTCAATGTTTCGCTCATTTTAGTTGTATGTGCTCTGAGAATAATGGACCATTTTAATTTTAATGACTTCTGAGGAAAAAAAAAAATTGCTCAAAGTATTTTCTGATAAAGTACAAGTGTCTCAGTTTAATGAGGAAAATTATGCATTGATAATTGAGCACGCTTCTATTCTAAATGCTTATAGAAAACCTAAAAAAAAAAAACTAAATCGTATATCGATTATGGATAAATTTAAATGGAACAGTTTGGATGATGAAATTGTATGTATTCTATAAATGATGGAATAGAATTGATAATGACTAATGACGATAGGAATAAGGATAGATGATAAGAGTTATGGAAATAATGCAAGAATGACATACGTTTCAAAATGATAGAATAATTTCAAGTCCTCAAACTATCTTCTTTTTTTTTTTAAATTTTGAAACTGAATAGAATTGATAATGATGATACAAATAAGGATAGATGATAAGGGTTATGGAAATAATGTAAGAATAATAAAAGCTCCAAAATGATAAAATGATTTCAAATTATCTCTTTCTTTCAAATTTCGCAAATTAATTCGACAAAACTTTTAGTATTAAACTTTGCAGAGTTTTTGATAAAGATGGCAATGGATATATCACAGCTCAAGAATTTAAACATTTCATGACAACAATGGGTGAAAAATTTAGCGAAGAAGAAGTAGATGAAATTATTCAAGAAGTTGATAAAGATGGTGATGAACAGGTTGGCATCACTTACTGAGAATTCCATAAAATTGAATTGATTCATTAAGCCATCATGAAGTTTTAAGAAATACAAATATAAACAACACATGATATAATGATATCGTAATTTAGATGCCAATCAAATATTGCTTGTATAAATGATATATCTTTGATTTAGTTTAGTTACCAAAAAATACAACTTGTGAATTATGAAGTTTGAATAATTCAAAAAAAAAATGTAAAATGTACAAAAATTTTCAGATTAATTATGAAGAATTTGTCCAAATGATTGCTCCAATTGTTCATGATGATGCTAAAGACGATCCATTTGCTGATACTTCATCCAAAAAATGAAGTAAAATATGAGAATACACGATTTCTTTCTCAAAGATTGCCGAATGTTTGCGATCGGCATATTATTATCAACCGTATCCAAAACATAAACATATCGCTCAATTTTAATAATATTATGAAATAAACAATATCGAAAAAAAATTCCTATTTATTTGTTAAATCTAATTTATATATTTCATTCCTTTCTCAGGAATTTCATTACGGCATGACATATGGACGGTTATGATAGTTTACTTTTATCCTTTTACATTTAATGAAATGTATTTTCTCGCGTATTATTTTTGGAAATTTCATGATCAAACAGTTTAAATCTGAAGAATTTTAATTACTCGTGAATTTTATTGGAAATTTACTAGGAAAAAAATAATAATAATAATAATAATGGAGGGAAAAGGTGAGATTGTGAAAATAGATCATGATTTAATCAATAGGATTCAACAAAAAGAAGGATGAGGAGGATAATTTACATCAAATTTCTAGATATTTTCCCTAATTTAATCAAAAAGTTAAAAAAGAGAAACCATCATAACTGAAAATTTATTCATGTACGTTTTCTGTTATATCGTAATGACCGCAAATCTAATCATAATCCGAGGAATTCCATTGCAATTTCAATTTAAAAACCATGATAAACATTTTTCATCCATCTCGGACCTTAAAAATTCATTTCTTTGTGGTGGGTTTTCGGATGCTTAACCTTAAGCTTGCGGCCATTTCCCTTCCATCAACTGCTACATAGATCTCATATATTTATGAGCTCCATAGCTCCCTTCACAACTTTGTACATTGTACTGCCTCATCTACATAAATTGCCATGTAAAACAATATCTAATTTCATTTCTCTATTCAGATTCCCGAAATCTCCAATAAATTTAAGCAAAGAAAGTTTGCATAGATGGGGGACCAATAAATTTTATGCTTAAAATCCCTAGATCCATGCTAAGTTCAATGATCTCGGAAAAAAAAAAAAAACTTACATAAAAACCACTATTCTGTACGTAAATCTGTATGGTTTCTTGTGCAGTCGTGAAAGTCGCAGTGTCTCTAAGCCATGTTACTGTGTTCTATCATTTCTAGGCATTTTTATTTCCTCATTCATCACTGTTTTTTGTATGAAAATCTCGTGCATTGCATACACATTATTTGCTTAGGTCTTTTCTGGAGTAAAAATTAGTATAATTTAACCTTAGTCGTATTCCACAAGACCAGTTTTATTCAGTACCGTGAGAATTTCCATTGTCGGATAGAACCGGATAAATTACGGATTCTCACCTAATTATTATGACTGCAACCATTACAAACACAATTTTCAAATCGGGGTGCATTTTAAAATTACAAAAAAAGTTGCCTTCTGAAGCTAGAACCGGATTATGGATTAACAATTATTTTACGCAGCTAAGATCATTTACATGATTAAAATGAATAATTAATCCATTCCGTAATAACGCAAATAAATCATACGCTTCCCAAAAGTTCCAAGAATACTTAAAGCCATGGTCATTCGACATATTCGAAAAATATTCGGAATTCGAAAAGTTTGAACACTTATAAAAACATATACAGAATCAATTCTTATGTTATAAAATGCGAGAAGCAAAGGAAAAAATGAAGAAGTAACTTCAAACATAAGCAAAATGACTAGTGATAGAAGAAATTTTTATAGAGCCCTTAAAACTTCAACTTGGACATCTGCAAGCTTATCTTCTTCTGGGATGCGACGAGAGAGATCTACATATTCATCATGTAATTTTGTAGCGCGCATCATAAGCTGCAAATAAACCATGATTCACCGAAAGGAATCAAGTCTAACTTACAAAAGAGTTAAGTCGAAATTCGCTGGCCGAAAAGTAAAACAAACGGAAAACACAACAAAAAAATTTTACCCGACAACGCCCACGTTCTTTTTCCATTCCTTTTTGTCCAACCTGATAGCTTACTTGGTACACCCTTTATTTTCAAATTGGCTTTCAGTTGAACCATTTGTTGTTTCTGCAATTCCAGATATTTCGCACGGAGTTTCTGGAATGTGTCCCTGGAAAAAAAAGTATGAAGGACAAAATCTCAGTTGCAAGCCAACGGAAAAAAAAAGTGGAAGTTGTAATTAATGCAAAGAAATGCACAATGTTGAATAAGCTTAAAATGAGAATTTCGATGGAAAAGAAAAAGAAAGTGACAGTTTGGAAGGAAAATCCCTTACAGTGAATATGCTTGTATATTATGGAAGTATTTCTTCGGACGTAGACTGCAATTTTTTGGTTTATCATCTCGCCGTTTTTGTCGATGCACACGTTTTCGTCTAGAATAAATATGTTGCATCTACTTTAAAGTCAAACTTTCAAAACTGAAATTGCCAATTAAATGACTCCTAATCATATAGTCTAGCCGTAAATCTGAATACAAAAATGAACTTTTGAATACGTACTTTTTCGCAGCAACACCAATTTCGCTCACTAAAATCTCTTCGGGAAAATCGGTTCCAACATCTCTAAACGTTTTCTCCGACGATTCACCGGCAGCTACAACCGTCAATTGTTGTATATTCTTGACAGTTGTGAATCGACCACCAATATCCATTTTAACGTCCGCAATTTCACGATTCTCTTCAGCTATGCCGATGTCTACAGCTTTTTTCGGATCAGCACTTTTAAACCCATTTAATTTAGCTTCTGTTCCAAATTTCTTTTCTGCAACATTAGTATTCCTTATTCCTATTACAATGATGTAGTTGGATGCGGTTTAGAACCTTCCGATAAAGTAAGTGTCAAATTAGTCGTACCGCAAAGCGCTTTCTTGGAATACTTTACATCAAGACATTCATTTTTTCAACTGTACGGTATAGGAGCTTCCAAGACTTTGAGAAGTATTACTAATTTAAACAAAAGAGATCCAAAGATATTTATATTTACTGCACTGAAGGCATCTTTATATCTATTAAATTAGCATTATTACCTTCATCAGCAGTCGTTTTGGATTTTTTAGCCAATATGTCAGCAACTCCACGACTTGATAGTCTTTTTCGTTTCCTCTGTCTATTGCAACTTCCGTCCTCATCACTTACAACATCGCTAGAATTATCCACGCCCAGTGCTGGTTTTTCAGCATTGGTGACTCCAATTTGCATTGCCTCTGAATTCAAGATTTCTTCAAAGTATAAATTTATAGAAAGATATGTATAAACTGAATTAACTTCTATTAACCACTTCGAATATCCTAAAACACCGCAAGCTTGAAAAGAAAAAGTGAATCAGTTGCTAAATAATGGACACCCTGTAAAATAAGAAGAGCATTATTAGTTTGCTTCCTCTTCCCTCCCCTAATTCCACTTTTGACCCCTAAAATTCACCTAAAAACAATAGCCAACTAAATCCTAACCAACTGAACCAAACAGTTTTCAAATCTCCAGAAATCTCACCTTCTTCGCTTTTGACCTTCGGCAGCTGGCTTCCAGTACTGTTTCTAGGTTTTTTTCTTGGCTTACGTCTCTTTTTTTGCAGTTTATTCTTGCTCCTGGTCCTTGAAATAGAATTCTTTTTCACTGCTTTTTTTCGTTCTAATTTTAGCTTTTTGCGCCGTCTGTTCGCAGCTTTCTTCCGTAACAATTGATGAAACTACAAAGAATTCGTCAAGTAACATACAAAGAAGAAAACTTGGTCTCTTTTGAATAACTAAACCCGCAATGGAAAGAGCTCCAGACAGTGTTTGGTTTTTGGGAACACTTACTAACAACTACAATATTATCATCACTACCATTAGATTTTAAAATAACAAAAACGGTACTTTAATGAAATCCAGTGGGGACTGTTCATCCACAAATTTGATGAAAGCACTTTGAAAAAATCTGCCGGTACATGTAGCAGACGTAGATACTTCAGCTGATGTGGATACATTACTTGCGGTGGAACCCCCGTTTCGATTCATTTTTCTCTCTATGATGGGATGCACAAATACAACAGTCCCAAATGCTGACGCCCATTTTTCCAATAAATCCACTTTACAACCATGAGGTAAACTGTCCTAAAAAAAGAAATTCGTTAGGATACTTGATCCCTGATATGGTCCCGAATAGGAATTATTTTCCTTTATGTATAAAATTCTTACATTAAGAGTGTTATAATGCTATATAAAGTGAATTTAAACATAAAAGCAGTATCCAAGTCTAACAGTTACTACTAAGTTATTATTATATTAAAAGTGTTACAATTAGGAGTGTTTGGAAGAATCTTAAACCACAATTTGGTTTAATTAAAAATCCTCAAAATAAACATACTTACAACGTAAACAACGGTAGAACCGTGATCCAGACCATTGCTTTTGAGCACAAGCTGAAGAGTGTCTGTTGAATTTCCAATGATTGAAAAAAATTTCGAGAAATTTCCAATGCTGATAAGCGCTTTGCAACTTAGCCTTCGATATTCATCCGTATCTAACTTCAACAACTTTATTATCGATGACAGCGGCGCACTTACTATACAATCCATATCTGTTTCTAGGACATCCTGAATTGGCGAGTCACTCGTACATAATGCTATTTCAATCTGTAAATTAGCTACATATAAAGGTCAGGCAAAACTTACTACCTCGAAAAATTTAGTTTCCCTCATCATCGATTAGAAATAGCTTATCTTGCTTTGACATAAGCCCTTTTACCAAATTGTGAGTCAGCAAGTGGATGAAACCATTCAACCACTTCCATCATGCATTACTCCTACTTCTTTCGGGAATAGTTTGCAAGACCAAATGCTTAAGACCTCTAGTCGTAAAAATGCATGTTACGTATGATAATGCTGAACAAATTAAGAATTTCCTATACCTCACTTCCGTAGAAAAAAAGTGAGTGAAATAAATTTACCTTTTCTCTGATTGTTCGTCGAAGCGCTTTGGTTCGTGGTCGTTTACGCTTTCGTTTTCCATTATCATTTTTCTCCCATAAAACATTTTCCGGATCAATCTCAGTTTTACTACTCGAATGTCCTAAATTGTCATCGTCGTTAAATTTCTCGTCAACATCGCCCTCCATTCCAACCACCTTAATAATCAAAAAAATGTTTCAGTAAAAACCATTCCCTTAAGAAAAAAATAAATGCGAAAAAACTTTTAGTTATTCATCTAACAGATATCATATCAAAAGTCAAATAAGATAGCGCAGTTATCTGGTATGTTTAAGGTTAACACTGACCAAAGGATCGTGTATTATTATTTTCATAAAAACTCTCCATACATTTAAATGTGCCTTCCGGAATTGTACAGGAAAAACAATTGATCATTCCTACTAAAACTTCCTAATCCTGAACATCGGAACTAAACTAACTTAAAAACCCCGTGAATTTGAATGTAGACCGTGACCGAAATTTTCACTCTGTCTCAGTAATGTAAACGTTGTGATGCGTGACGCAGGGAGAGTGCTGTACGGGACGTAGTGAGTGAGGTATTCGATGGTCGGATTAGTTTGGTGTGTAGAATTGCTTGTTGCTTGTGTTTCAGGATTAATCCGAAATAATGGTAAAAGATGAGACGAAAACTGAGCTTGTCGACCTTTCAGTTACAAAAAGCATGCTTGTCAGTTCAGTGAAAACCAGAAAACGGCATTATGTAAAGTCAGCATTCCCTTTATTTTTATTCCGGATTTATTGATCTTTATATTGATGCACATGGTGTATTATTTCGGATCTCCGAGAAATATGTTGTTTATAAGGGTTCCTGAAGAGATTGACGGATTGAAACCTTTGCAAAAACACCTTTCAGGAAGGAAAACTTTGTATATGAGGAACACCGGAAGAAATCCAGTGGCGATCGTGACCTTTTCATACCACAAAACGCCTTGGAAAGGCATGATACCGGTGCTGCAAATATTAATCCGGTAACTGTCTTTGTCATGAATGATGATGAACTGCTTTCATGATTGTCAAACATAGTTCTGCACCACTAGCGTTCCTTACAGTTGCTTCAGGAATATAAGTGGTTGGCTTGAACCCATTTTAAAACATATGTTCAGTCAGGAAATTTCGAATGATCCTAAGTTACATGAAACTTATACACGGTCCTAACGTACGCACTTATGCTGAAGTTTTATTTAACAGGTTCGATCAATTTGCAGGAAAATGTAAAAAACGGGTTTTCATAGAGCAAAGCTTGAAACCAAAAGGAAAAGATTACCTAGAAAGAACTAGGGAAACCG